ATTTAATAAAGACATTTCTCTATTTCACAGTGACACATCAGGAGACTCACTGTTGACGTGATGTGCTCACATAATTTTGTTTTGTTCTTTCTTCTTCTCAGCCTGTTTTCCCTGTAATTAACATTGTCTTTTCATGTTGCCTCTGTAGACTTAGGCTCCAACGCTGCAGAGTGAAGGCTCCGTCTGAGTGGAGCCCACATGGACCTGGACTGTACATATAATTTATTACAGCACAGAAGTGAGAGTGTGTGTTTGTGTGTGTGCCAGAGTGGTTCGGTCACTGTACCTGCAGATGTTTTCTTTTTTTAATCAGTTTGCGAGAGTTTGTGTTCAATTTGCTGTTATAATTAAACTGCATTATCTTTAATAAAAACTTTATTTAACACCCACAGAAGCTCTGTTTTCTGTCCCTTCATTTCAGCTGCTGCTGACACTTGGACTAGTTGCTCTCCTGTGTGAGAATTTACTGCTTTTCTCTGTTAATCTGTGGTTTTATCGGTTTGTTCAAAAAATTTCTCAAGACTCTAGGAACGGACGGACTTTTGGCATTTCTTGGACATTTTAAACTAAGTCATACAATAGCTTTTGGAGCCAAGAGTCCATAGCTTTGGAACTGCTATGTATGATCCATGCAGAAAGAAAAAGTGTTGCCCACAGTTTTGTTACACCTGTGGCCTGGTGATGGAGACACAGTTTGATTGTTTTGTAAATTCTCCCTCTTTGATCCACAGTCTTGAGATTATTCATTTGACCTCAGCTGTGGAACTGCTACTCACTGAATGTTTATTCTCAAGTGGCAATAAAGCAGTTACATTGCAGTAGGAGAGGTAAAACCCTTCAGTGGTGGCTGATGCTATTGAATTTGATACATTGTGATTTTAGTAGAAACAGACCTATGCTTCTGTTTTCCTAATTATTTGGTACAAGTTGTTTTTGCGCTCACCCTGACTGAGGTAAATGCTCTTCTGCGGAGCAGAGACAGGACGCTGCTTGCATCGCTGCATCAACAATTATCAAATGTGTACTCTGAAATGAGTCATTCTGCATAATGAGTACTTGTACTCTTGTTACTTGAAGTATATTTTGATGCTAATACCATTGTGCTCTTATTCAAGTGAAGTTTTGAAGGCAGGTCTTTTCTAAGTTATTGCTGCACTGGGGTTATACTGTTTTTACTTAATATCTGTATAGTGGTATTTCCACCAATGCCACAAAGACAAACCAAAAGCCAGACAACATTAGCATTTACAATTTAATTCAACTTCAAATTTCACATCCTGTATAAAGAGTGCATCATAAAAATGATCAGCATTTGCGCAGACAGGAAAAGGCAATATAAACTGATATTTGTGTGTTTATTGCAAAGAATCCTGTTTTTGTACCAAAAAAAAAACAAAAAAACTTACAAAAAGCTTCAGGAATAGAGGGTATTGGATATTTGGACAGTATATATACCAGGGAAAGGAGACATAAAAAAATATATATTGCAATGTAAACCAGTGTGTATTGCTATTTGTAATTAAGCCTCGATCAATAGTGCCTGTGGTTTCCACAGAGAAGAGTAAATGGCTTCCTTTTCCAAACAAAAACATCTCAAGTGAAGGACTGATGTGAAATAACGATGGTGATATTTACAGTGACATGTCTTGGAGTATGCTGTCTAGCTGAGGTGCAGAACAAGATGAGATTTGACACCTGATGTGATGAATTAACTGATGGCTTCAAAATATAAATCAGTGTGGTGTGAATTATTGCAGAGTTCAGAGCAAATAAAGGCCCTGGCACAGCAAAGCTGCACTGCTACCATAAAAATACTGCTCAAAAAAAAAAAAAAAAAGGGCTGAGGGGGGAGAAATCATGATTCGAGTTCTCTGAAAACACTGGCTCCTACATTTCCCATAACACAGATGGACAGAGGTTTTAATCAGCATGCCTATTAAACAGTCACATTTCAACTCCACAGCTTCCTGTGTGTTAGACATCTGTAGTCAGAGGACAAACCAGGATTAGGTCACTGATAGTGATGTGCAAGAACCACGGAATGACCCTTTAAAAGCAGTGGAGACACTGCACCAATTACAGCCTTGTTAAAACAGCCCTGTTAGGGTTCTAAACAACTCAGTGACATCCAATGCACATTGAAGGAAATGTTTTCTATTTGTGTAAGGAAATGATGATACTAAACGCCACTAAAATGCTTGATCACATATTTAAGTCTTCCAACAAAATATACTGCTAGGTGACAGAAATACGCACCCCACCAGCAGGTGGCAGTGTGTGTATTCACCATTCAGAAAGGGAAAGAAGAAGAGCTAGAACGCCAAAGTATAAGCAATAAACATATCTCGTTCAACACAGCTGCTGTTTTTAGCTGCTTCGATTCGAGAATACGTCTGATAACCAGTGACACTGCCGTTCTCTGCCCTCGGTGTTTTGGTTGTGGAGGAAGAAAGGAGGTCATGGAGGTGAAAAACCGCACTAAATGTGTGAAATCATGGACATTATAACAAAAGGCTGAAGGAGCTTTCCTGAACCGTTCTGATTCGCTAAGTTCACCAGCCAATCAGAGTGGTCTCTTTCTCACTGATGAGACCTGACCGCCAATTCAACATGTTGAATCGTTCAAAAAGCCACCGACTAGTGCCAACGGTGCAGGACACACAGGGAAGACGAGCCCTGACAGTGGCCGATGGCCGACCGTCAGCTTGGTGCGTCTCTGCCCTAAAAGCAAAAATAGCCAGTGGTGAATACACAGTTGTGGACAGCACATCATCAAAGGCCAAGTCAGACGTATGGGTGAAATTTGGTGTGGTTACAGTGAGAGCACCATTATCAGCGGCTTTGCTGCTTGTAAATAGTGCCAAAAAGTGTTAGCATTTGACAGCTGCAAGCTGGGCACCTCCTCACGTCAGCTTGGTGCATCTCTGCCATAAGATGACAAAAGCCACTAACTGCACATTCAAAAATAAAAACACTTCTTGCAAATATAGTACGAGTATAAAACGGTTTTCTGGTTTCAGATACAGGAAAAGTTTAGAACATCCCCCAGGCGCAGTTCAGCTCTCACTAACAGTCCTTCTTTGTGCCCATGCTCCTCTTGCTCAGTCATGGAAGCGTTGGCAGGCTTTCTTCCAGCGACAGGCCGTGCACCATTGGTCTCTGTGCTCGATGCCATAAACTTTACGACACTTCTTGGCCTCACCACGAATCCTCCTGAAAGACAGACAGAGAGAGAAAGACTGAGCTCTTTGTCTGTCTTCTGCTGCGTTCACGTCATGTGGCACGAAAACCACAAAGAGGAGAAAAACCTATGTTTGTGTTCATGTCACTGTACAATTAAGAAAAAATATAGTTCATTGTCAGTTCAGCACTATGTCCAGTAAACTGGGTTTAATTATGTTGAATGAAGCACTTGACTGACTTAAACAATGCAGCTGGTGATTTCGCATTTTTGTTGCTGTGCACAAACTCTATCCAAAGACCAACACCACAGTGAATGTGATGTCCTCACTGTGATGCGAGTCCAGACCCTGGTTCAGCTTATCGCTCTTTGCTCCACTGGCTATTACCCCCCCCACCACCACCAGTGAGCCATACTGCCACACTGGGGGGCAGGTTTCCTCCTCAGGAAACAACAGGAGGCAACAACAAACTGAGAACAGCGTCACCGTGCACAGTCTGAAGGAAGCCAGACTCAGTGATCTCTGTTCTGTCTACATTATTGCACTAGCTTCTCGTGCTGCAGAGAACAATGCTTTGTGGGTTTGTAACAATATGAGGCTGCTCTCCTCGGAAAAGGTTGACACCATTTCCCCCGAACTTCAGTTTTGTTTCCCATTTGTTTCACTGTACCTACATTTCAGCACCAGTAGAACCAGTCTGCATTTTAACAATGAACCTACACTGTAAATCACAGGCTGGGCTGTAGATTGTTACCAAATTAATTAACAAACTGAAAGAACATTAGAAGATTGTAAGTGTATGTAAACACTGACCTGCAGGGGGTGTTGTGGTGCTGCAGCCACTGCTCTCCTAGACTGACTGAACGCACTCGAAATGACAAACCCTGAAGAGGAGAAGGAAGAAGAGGAGTGAGTCTGCTGCAGAAAGTCATAGCGGTAAACACTGCAGGGCACTGTGCTGTTTATTTGAGCTCCTTATCGTTTCCTGACAATCTTTGCTGGCCTCTGATATTTTATTTTCACCGCAGAAACCATCCTTCCTGTTGAGCACCAGCTTCTTTTCATAAACTGTTTGTTAGGGCTGCTGTTAGTCTCCTTAGTGTTTTTTTCACTCGGCTGTAAACACTGCAGTTCCCCTGGCGGCCTGCAGGTGGCACTGCACTCTGCCAGATGGATGGAAAATGTGACCACAAACCATCCACAGGGATTTTCCTGTTCAATAAAAGTAATCAGGGCTGGGTGCACGCACACACGCACACAGACTTCACCCTCCTTCACTATAAAACCAGTTTTAACAGGCTGTTCTGGAGAAAATAAACAAGTCTGCTGCACAGGATTGAGACTGACAGAAAACAAGTACATTTGAGAAGTGTGTTTGGGGGGTGCAGTTGGCTGTGAGGGGATGCACAGTAATTTGTACAAAATCTGAAAATTTAACCTAATATTCTCAGGGAAAGTCCCAAACTCTGCATTCTCTGCAAACAATACAGCAGCAGCAAGTTACCAAGAATCTGCAGAGTTTCACTTCACACTTGTGTGGAAATATTTTGCAGGTCTGCAGAAGTCTGAAGTGTTTTCCTGATCTGTTTTTTTATCGTCAGAGCCAGTTATTTTCCCCTCTGAGCAGCTGAACAGCTAAATAGAAAAGGCAGGCCCTGCAGCTCTCCACCGATCACTGCCTAGAGTGGCAGTGATCATTGTGGGAGCACAATGCACAACACATTTGCAAATAAATGCTGATCATAGTTTCAGCTCTCTACTCATGTTGCCCTTAAGAAGACAACTTTACCCAGGTTCAACCAATCACAGAGCTCAAAGAGCCAAATTATCTGGATGAGCATCAATCGGGTTATTTGGCCTTATATGAGCCTGGATTAGTTAAGCCATGTGACAAAATGGTGAGTGTTTACCTGTCTGCTGTTGCAGGTGGTGGGCGGGGCCGTCCAGCGACAGGTAGCTGTGCTCGGAACTGTTGCTGAAACCACGTGGCCGGGAGGCAGAGCCTAAAGAGACCGACACAGCATTATTACAGTTTGGTTTAAATATATACTTACATACAAGGTTCCAGTTCAGTGAAATAAACATAATAATTAAAAATGAGAAATAAATTTGCTGAAGATAAGAAAATGGGTTTATCAAAAGGTGTTTTTGCATTCATCAGAGCTACCCTGTGAAGTTTTTAGAGATGCTATGGAGTGACGTTTTTATGAGTGGGTGTGCTTTTTTTTGTCTTTTCCACACTTCTGACTGTTTTCATGCTAATCTGCAGGTCAACAGTCTGTGGCAACAGTAACAAAGAAGCGTCAACAAAGGCAGTGAAGAAGACGACTGCAAGTAACTGAAGGCTGCCGTTATGAGTTTTGCTGCCACAGAGGAAATAAACTCATCCATCCATTTTTTGCAGCATATTCAAAGACGCTTTGCATGTGCAACAGGTTAGTCCAGATGTCCCACTCCCCAGCTCCTCCTGGGGGGCCCAGAGGCGTTCCCAGGCTAGATGAGATATACAGTATAATCCCTCCCTGAGTTCTGGGTCTCCCCCTGGGCCTCCCGACAGTTGGACATGCTACGAAAACCTCCAATGGGTGGTGCCCAGGAGACATCCCGATCAGAAGCAGCGGCTCTACTCCGAGCCCCCTACAGATGAGTGAACCTCACACCCTGTCTCTAAGCCTGAGCCCAATACACTCTACAGAGGAAACTTCTTTCAGCTGCTTCTCTTCACAGTCTCATTCTTTTGGTCACTACCCAGAGCTCGTGACCACAGGTGAGGGCTGGACTGACTGCTCCACTTCAGAACTTTATTTAATGTATTACTGTATTTTATACTTTTATACAATGAGGAGGAGCTGCTTCTTTTTGGACTTATGGGATCTCAGGGAAACATTCCCAGCATTCTCAGTGTTTCCTTTCCTCAAATACAGGAAAAGCATGTTGTCTTATATTCAGGTCAATATGGTAATTCTACATCACAAATATGTGTCTTAAATTTATTTACACACATGCTGTCAATCACTGCTGACAAGTCCCGCCCCTACCTGATAGGAGTGCTCTGACTGGACTTGCCAGAAGCTGTCAGGTGAGGAGGGGGCGGAGCAGCTCAAGGCGCCACAAGGTGGAGAGGGGGGAGATGGAGGGGGAGGGCTGGGAGGCGAGGAGGGGAGTGAAGCGGGAGTGGGGCCATAGATGAGTGGATGTGGAGGAGACTGGTTCCACTGGTCCCACTGGTTGATCTCAGTGTAGTAAAAGTCCTCCTCACTGCGGGAACATCGCTCGTGTTCCCCACCACGACTGCAACAGGGAGGTCAAAGGTTACATTATAACTTGGTAATAATAATAAAACAAGAGTTAAATTGATCCTGGTGCTAGTTTTGTAAGGAACTGTGACATGTTTTTAAAAATATTTAAAATATTACTTTTGAATTTCATTTCATGATTAGAAAAGGCATTCAAAAGCCAAATTCTGCCCTAAAAAAATGTCAGGAAGGAAAAAAGAAAAAGAAAAACATGAAAAATAATAAAATATTTACTGAAAATCCATCCATTCCCGAAAATGTCAGGAAGGAAAAAAGAAAAAGAAAAACATGAAAAATAATAAGATATTTATACAAAATATTTATTAACTTTTTTAAAATACATAATCATGTTTTTCTTTTAATCCAAATCTATAAATACACTTATTCAAAATGATGAGCATGTGAGTGAAGTTTAACATTAACTTTAATTAAGTTAGGAAGTCAAAATTAATTACTAAATTAAAATGACATTTTCATAATCTATATAATATTGAATTCTTAATTTAAAATATTTTCATTTTTCTCAAAACTGTTAATTATCCTATTAAATGTTTCTGGATAAATTTGACTATTGTGGGTAAAATTGCAATGTTAAAGGACTTTTTACTTGGTTTTTATATAACTGTGCTTTGATTAGACAAATATTTAATTTTCTCAATTATCCCAAAATTTTAAACCATAAACCATTTCCCTGTTGATTTCCAAAACTATGCATTACTGTCGAAAATGTACTGAAATCACAAAATAAAGTAATGTGATTATTTTCCAGGTCTGTAAATTTCCACTACAGCCCTGCTGGAAGGAAGTTAAGTGCTTTCACATTAGTAACATCGTTCCGTGAACCGTCACACTCGTATGCGTACACGGTCCGATACAGTAGGTGGCAGTATGCACGTTGTTTGTTTGCAATCCGCCAAAAAGAAGAAGCAACGACACTCGTTTCATCAACTGGGCGACATTTGTTTCTGTTCCACAAGCATGTAAATACTTCCATAAATCTCAGAGTTTCTTTTAGCGGCCCACTTCCTTGTTGGAGCATGGTTGTGTTCGCATCCCCTACAGACCGTACTCAGGTACACATGAATCGTCCTCGAGACCACCTCTTCAGACCTTCGTGCCCGAGTCCGGTACAATTGTGTTCACACTGATCAAAATGAACCGAACTTTACTCGGATCCGGGTTCCTAATGTGAAACCACCCTTAGTAAATAACCTTAATGTTCCTGAAGCGCAGAGGCAGTGTGGAAAGACCGAGTCTTACCACAGGTGTGTTGTCCTGATGTGACGTTTGATTCCCACTACTGACGTCAGCACCTTCCCACAGCTGGGCCACAGACACCTGTAGGCCACCTTCACCGAGTTCTGCAGGACGACACACCTGTCAGCGCTCACTCTCACCTGTTCCCATGGTTTGTCTTCTTCTATGAAAACACCTGCTCACCTTGCGTTTCCGCGGTGCCGGCTCATCAAATAGCACCTGCTCCAGCTCCATGTCTAGTCCTTCATCGGAGGGCGTGGCCAGGCCAGCATCAGGCTCTGCGAGTGGCGGAGAGGGTGCTGGGCCTCCACAGCTGCCGCCCCCCCTCCCGTAGCCCAGAG